TTTGAAACAGCAAAGTAATTAAATTTATAAAACATATATGTTTTCTGCTTTAAACATATCCAGCTACTACTCCAAATTGTAGTAAAGTAGACACAATTACAAATGCTGTACATAATTTCATCACATAAAATCATCTGAGTCATATCCACTATTTTCTGTATTTGATATCATATTAGATGTATTAAATAAAGAATTATAACTTCTGTAAAGAAATCAAATAATGTTAATTTCAGAGAATTTGTAAAATAATATAATCATTCTCTACTTGCCTCATTTCTGCCTCTTCTTTTCGTCGTTTCTCTTCTGCTTTTTCTTTTTCCTTTTGCTCCCTTAGAAGTTTCTTTTTATCTTTTCGTTCATTTCTATCTCGCTCCTCTCTTTCAGCTCTTAAATTTACTTGTTCTGCACGTTTAGTTTTAGTTAATCGATTAACAATAGTATTTATTCGTTTTGCAACACGAATTTTACGAACATCTTTATCTTTATGAAAACCAACTTGCCCTTCTTCCATGCTCTGAGTTTTTTTTAAATTCGACCACATTGTGTACACTACATCAACATCATTCATTTTATTTCCTTCAATGCTATTTGCCTTCACTAATTGTGCAGCATCTTCTAAAACTGCACTAGGTATGTCATCTATTGTTTGCCCCTGTAAATCATATAATTATATACAAATAATAGTAATATATGTAATGATATATAAATTTATAATAAAAAAATACTTACAGGGCAAAGACGAAGGTATACATGAGCTGAAGAATATTTATCTACATGAAACCACACATCTTCTGGCCAGCCCCATTTTATAAGATCTTCATCTACAAATTTATATATTTAAAGATTGATAATGGACTATATATTTTCCGAACATTATAATGCACTGTAGTATTTTCAACTCACTTTCATATTTATCAACTCCCATAAATAATGTTACTGGTGGTTGTACAACTGTAATGCAAAGTTATGATTATCACTCTAACCTCACTGAATGTTATTATTTTTATTAATACAATATAAAAAGATAAAACTTAAATATATACAATAAATATGAAACTAATGATAAGTAATAATACCTTCACTTGTAAAATAATAAACCATTATTATCAAAAAGAATTTAGTTTAAACTTGTGATGCAATATTATCTATCAAACTTCAATTCGATACTAGCGACGGTAAACCATATTTTTTTAAAGGTATTTAATTCACTTTCTACTTAAACATAACAATAAAATTAATAAATATATGAAAAATACATAAACAAACACAGAAAAATGATATAAAAGAGAGAATATAAACAAATTTTAATATTCTTCAAACATACTATACTGGCAAAATAGATTTCTCTTTACTACATTAAAAAAAAATTATTGATAAAATTTATATGTACAGTACTACTGTATCAATTGTGTTCAATAAATTGCTGTAATTATTGCTTTCATTAACATATTTGATATATTAGAGATGTTTATAAATTCGTAGACTAAGTTTGTAATATTTATTTATTAATATTATTAACAATATACATATATTTGTTTTATTTTACATAGTAACTATAGAACTAAGGATTTAAAATAATATTAATCCATTACACGTTGATTTAATCGAATATGTTTTTCAGCATAATACGTTGTAATAATGTGATCAAGTACTGGTTTTACATCAGGATCCCACCTTCGTTCAGCTATAGAAACTGGTGTTTCTAACAGGGATAAATACACTAAAAATTTTGTTTGCATTAAATCCTGTATTAGTAGTGTAATAATACTATTTGAAATAAAATTTAACAATAAAAATAAGTTTACCAAGTAGCATATTAGGATCTGTAAGAGTAAGTTGAATGCGTGGGTCATTCATTATTGCTTCATAAATTGGATTATCTGAATCAAGTTCTTTATCTAAGTCTTGTAAACTATATCTTCTTTCTCCAAGTAACCATTCGCACTAAAAGTAGAAGTACATCAAGTATACAAGAAAATAGAGTTAAAATTTAATATATATATATTACTTACAGCATTATCTTGATTATTTCCAGTAACTTTTAATGCATCAATAATAGCCTTTTCTTCGAATCCCATTTTCAACAATGATTGTACTGTTTTAGAACTGGGTTTAAAATCCATCTTCTTATAGTGATGAAAGCTTTCTAGCAAAAGATCTATTATATTGATTAGATTTCCCTCTTTCTCCAAACTTTGACATTCTATATAATTTCCAATTTAATTATGTATAATTATGCAAAGTATGGG